ATAAAAAATAGTCCAGCGGCGTCCACCTCCACCAAGAGACCGGAACAGTCCCCCCCCCCCTCATAGGTTAGTGATACAAGGGAACCGGCGGATCCACAGGACGGGGCGGGGCTCGGGGTAGGGCGGAGGTGTGAGGGGATGCGCAGGCCGACTGGCCGGAGGGGGCGGGGCCTTGGGAAGAGGGCGGGGTTGAGCGAAGGGGCGGGTCTCCAGGGGCGTGGCTTAGGGAGAACTTTGGGCGGAGTAATAAGAAGTGGGGGCATTAGAGAGGATGGATGGTTGAGCCCTGTAAGTTGCAACCATAGAAAGTTCTAGTATGAATGATTTACAGTATGAGTCAGGCTTATCTCAGACCTTCAACCTCCCCTCCTCCTCACTGTCTGGTGGAGGTGGGAGGTTGGCACAGTTTTGAATGTTGGAAGGGAGAAAACTGGCAGTTTTGAAAGTGTCATCGTATATAATAAAAGGCTAATATGCAAATCCACCGAACTGCAGAAAGACTGGTTGCTATGATGTGCCCTGACCACCAGGGGGCAGACGCTGAACGCAGGAGCTGCCCCCTGGTGGTCAGTGTGCTCCCACAAGGGAAGTGCTGCTCAGCCAGAAGCCAGGCACATGGCTGGCTAACGCAGCAGCTGCAGCAGCAGCAGTGCTAGGGACCCCTCAAGGGATGTCTGCCTGCCAGTTTAGGCTGCAGGGAGCCGGCATCCCCCAGGGGTCCCAGATTGTGAGAAGCGCAGGCCAGGCTGAGGGGACCCCTCCCCACCCCGCCCCCAGCCCAATGCACTAATGTTGTGCACCAGGCTGCTAGTATACTAATATGCTAGTATACTAATAAAATGGGACGATCCAAGTCAAACATTGAGAGAGGTCACCTGGGCTCTTATTTGTTAAACGCATACTGGCGGAAGGCGTCCTGTGTACCAAGCACTGACCGAGGGGCTCCAGCTCTCACAGAGTGCCAGGCCTGTTGAAACGTGCCTACCAAGAAGCATTTATCAGCCCTGTTTATAAAGCCCAGCTTCCATCTTGGCACTTGCTAGCACCTGACTGAGTTGATCATCCCCACTTTACAGATGAGGAAAACCAAGGCACAGAGTGATTGAGAAACCTGCCTGATGTCACCAAGTCAGTGGGTGTTGGAACGTAGGTCACTTTGTTTGAACTTGGCCACCCAAGTTACCTTCCATCTAAATTAAGCTATCCAAGAGAGACTTCCTTTTATTTTGTTATTTCTCTAAGACACTTGCCCCAGGGTTTTTGTTAACATGCAGATTTTGATTCCTTTTCTTTGGGGAAGAGGCCGGAGGGTCTGCATTTTGAACAAGTGCTGCTGGTTTTGCTGGTAGAGTATTTAACAATCTGGATTGTGGGGATCGAGGGGAAAGTGCGAAGAAATGGGAAAAGTGTTAGGTGGCATGGTAAGGCCCTCGCAGGTCTCTGTCCTCTTGTGCTTGCCGGTTCCCCTCTCGGGGCCTCAGGTTCCTCACTGGTAACGTGGGAGGTTGAATGATTTCTCCGAAGCCTCTCTTCTCTTCTGACAGCCTGCACTGTATATGGAAAGGTCATTGTCTTTTATGAATTCTCGTTGAGGCAGAGCCTTTAAATTAGTTTGGACTTGAAAAGATAAAAGAATACACTTTTTAAGAGTGAGATTAAAAAAAAATCCCATTATAGAACATTTGGAAAATGCAGAAAAGTAAAAAGAAGAAAAAACAATCATCCAACTCTCACCCCAAAGACAACCTATGTTTGAACATTTTGGCCTATTTTCTTCCATTGTTTTCTATGGAAACAGTGGTTTACTTTCTTGTCTACGTAATTTTGATCACATAGCAGATATATTCTCTGTCTGGCTATTTTTTAATTTAACATTACAAAGTAACTTTTACACATTTTTATGAATTTGTATTTAATGGTTGCATAATATTCCATTCTGTGATAGTTTGTTAAGCTTACCTTTATTGTTGGCTATTTAAGTTGTTTCTAATATTTTGCTATTATATATAACTCCTCTGTTTAGGGTTTTTCTTTTAGAGTCTCACATTTTGCTAAAGGATATGAAAAGTTTAAAGCTTATGGAAAAGTTTTTAACGGTAATAGTTTCTCTTTGCCAAGAGAAAATCAGGGAAATTTATGTGTATAAGGATAGATTAATAATATTACTGCATCTGGGGAAAACACTCTTATTCCACAAAGTATTACTATTATTAAAGGCAATAGTAATAATGATTCTTATTATAGCCATGCAGATCCTCGGCACTGTGCATAGTTTATCACCCTCATTTTACAGATGAAGGAGACTTGCTTGATGTCACACAATCAGGAGTCATCTGAGTTGGGACTTTGAACCCAGTCAGTGAGATGCCAAAACCTGTGATGCTCATAACCCAGGTAGGTATCTGAAGGTGGTCTTCGATCACCTGCATCAGCATCATCTAACCAGGTCTTGACCAGGTCTCCCAAATTAGAATTGTGATGGAGCCAGGAATCTATCTGCCTTCTTAACAGTTTCCCCAGGTAATTCTCTTATGTATTTATTAAAACTTTTTTTTTTGGTTTACATTGTGAACTATACCACATATACAACAGATTTTATAAAACATATGCACAGTTAAAAATAATAAAATAAACACCTGTGGACCCATCATGAAGGTTAACCTATTGGACATTGGGAGAGGAGGAAGAGGAGGGGACAGGAAGGGAGAAGTGGGCCTGGAGGGGGGGCGGGATGGGAGTCGGGTGTGAGGTGTGTGAGGTGTGTGTGTGTGTGTGTGTGTGTCTGGGTGTTGCCTGCTGCAGGGGGTGCTAAGGAGCCCTGGCTCTGGGAAGAGAGGGCACACAGCATGAAGGGGCCTCCAGAACTGGGTGTGACAGCCAGGCACACCAGCGAGGAGGGGCCATTCACGCAGCTGCTGTCACTCCGTCTGTGAAGACACTGCCTCCAATTCAAAGGGAAACTTGCTCAGAAAAAACACATCAGACACTCACCCCTGCCCTAGAGTCCTGACTGTCAACATGCTCAAAGCCCTTCCTGCACTTGCCCGAGCGGTGATGTTATGGGGTCTGTCCCCGGCTCCCTCAATGGCCCAGCCTTATCTCTGCTTGGCAAGGCCCCTGGGACCGAAAGAGGAGCAATCTGCTTCACTGAAGACAGGAGACGACCAAGATACCTGACTTTTCCTGGCAGCCTCAGCCCCCTGGGGATTTCCCTGGGAACATCCTGAAGCTTATTCGTGAGCCATCAAGGCACCATCAAGTTACCTGAACTTTTCAGTTACTTGGAGAGTAGTGTCCCCATTTTAAAGGTGCAATTCGATAAGTTTTGGCAAAAATGTACACCTGTCTGATCAGACAGACTTAAAGTCTCCCAAATACATAATTGCTGTGGGTTTTGATCCTGGGAGTTGAAAACGTAACATTGCAGTGCTTTCCAACCAGGGAGGGAGATGACAGACAGCCACCAAGGAGATGGCTAGGCTGTCACTGAAACCTGTGCACAGCTGGACGGAGCTGGAAAGGGAGCCCGTGATTTAGTGAGGCCCGTTCTCCATTTGGATCCACATACCTTTCGCAAGTGCCTTTTTAGTGATCAAAACCGTGCAACCAAGTATTAAGAGAAAACTCAGAACCGGGCTTCTGAGTGGCTACATCACAGTGTGAATCGAGGTTTTCAAAAAGAATGAACATGTTTAATCGCATTGCCGCTCACTAAGAATATCATACTTAATATGTGGGTAACAGCAAAATGATTGTTGCTGTGAATAAATAAGTTATTATTATTTTTAAAAAAGAACATTGGGAGCCTGTCCCGTGCCCACCTGATGGCTACCCCTCCTCCCCTGGCAGGACACTGCTATCCAAATTTGTGTGTTCTTCATTCCCTTGCTTTTCTTTTTTTTTAAAAATATATTTTATTGATTTTTTACAGAGAGGAAGGGAGAGAGATAGAGAGTCAGAAACATCGATGAGAGAGAAACATCCATCAGCCGCCTCCTGCACATCCCCCACTGGGTATTATTTTTAAAAAAGAACATTGGGAGCCTGTCCTGTGCCCACCTGATGGCTACCCCTCCTCCCCCGGCAGGACACTGCTATCCAAATTTGTGTGTTCTTCATTCCCTTGCTTTTCTTAATAGTTTTCCCGCCCCTG